GCAGGAAAGTGGCAGGCAGGCAGGCAGGCAGGCAGGCAGGCAGGCAGGAAGGAAGGAAGGAAGGAAGGAAGGAAGGAAGGAAGGAAGGAAGGAAGGAAGGCAGGAAGGCAGGAAAGCAGGAAGGCAGGAAGGCAGGCAGGCAGGAAGGAAGGAAGCAAGGCAGGAAGGCAGGAAAGCAGGAAAGCAGGAAGGCAGGAAGGCAGGCAGGCAGGCAGGCAGGCAGAAAGGAAGGAAGGAAGGAAGGAAGGAAGGAAGGAAGGAAGGAAGGAAGGAAGGAAGGAAGGAAGGAAGGAAAGCAGGAAAGCAGGAAGGCAGGCAGGCAGGAAAGCAGGCAGGCAGGCAGGCAGGCAAGCAGGAAGGCAGGAAGGCAGGAAGGCAGGCAGGAAGGCAGGAAGGCAGGAAGGCAGGAAAGAAGAAAGGAAGGGAGGAAGAATCAGAGAAATTAGTCAGGTACATCAGTCAAATCTAGTTTCATTCTAAGTGAATAAGATATACACTGTGAGGGCCTCAGGTTCCTTGTTTTCTTAGTTAGCATTGGTCAGGCATTGTGAAGGAAATGTGAGTGGAGGGTGGGGCGGCCTAAAGGGCCAAGGAAGACTTCTCAAGAGAGTGGTACTTGGCCTCAATCCAGAATAAAATAGAATCCCAAAGGGATTTGGGGAGGAATGTATCTGACAAAGGAAGTACCAAGCATGAAAAGGGGAGAACGGCACAAAGGTGACTACAGCTAGATCAGTTTGTGAAGAATGAAGAAAAAGAAGAGGTGCATTGTGGAGACAGGCAGAGGATGGGCTGCATATGGTCTGGAATGCAGAGGTATTCCTGAATGTGATGGGGAGGCTTTGGGAATAGATAGCAAAACTAATTACTTCTCCAGAACACAGGGCAGAAATCTGAAAACAAGCAAAAAGTGTTCTGAAAGCTCCAAATGCTATTACAATAATTCTTACACTTTAGTCAGGGCAAAGTAGGTCTCCATGGATGCCATTTGCACCCACTTAGCTTCTTACAGGACGTTTTGGAACTCCTAAGTAAGTGTGCTCTGCCTCAAGGAACATGAGAAGCCAAAAGCTGCTGATACAAAAGCTTTAGTATGCATTTATATTGAAGTGGATGCCACTTAAAGATATACTCCTAAGTGAAATAAACCAGACCCACAAGTGTAAATATCATATAGTCACCCTAGTATAAGAATTCAAAAGAAGAAATACAAATAGAAAAGTATAACACAATGAAAAGGAAAGTGAGAACTTGATGATTGGACAACAAGGAGAGGGCAAGGAGAAAAGCTGGGGGAAAAATGACATGGACAAAGCCATACATTTATATGCACAAGATGGGTAAGGCAATGACCCTGAGAAACATCAGCAGACTTTCAAAACTAGTAGTTAATTGGTAGGATCCTCACCCTGATTAACTATATATGCGGATATCTGTGAACTAAGCTACTGCACTGAAGAAAGCAATATGTAATAGAAGGGTCACATTTGGAATGCCTGTCATTCTGGTCTTCTAAATATGTACTGCTTGTCATGACATACCAATTATTGCCATACTGTCTCTCAAGTAAATGTTTGTTTAAAAAATGGTAATAAATGAAAAAAAAAAGAGACAAGGAAAAAAATGTCACAGGAGAGTCCTGCCACAATGCTGTATATGGTTAGATTTCTAAATTTCTGTGTAAAAATATATAATTGTTTATTCATATTTTAAAAATATTTTTATTTTTTAATTTTTTTATCCATATTCTATAGAGACTTAAAGTTTAATATATCAATACTAGATGGAAAATACCTGTTCCATGTTATGCCTAAGAGGTTTAATATTCAGACAGATAGTGAGGTTAAACCCAACTGCATTTGTTGTAGGGTAATAATAAGCTTATCTTCTGGAGGGTTAACAACCTCAGTTTGCAGGCCAAAAATAAGAGAAAAAGAAGGGCTGCAAGGACAGCCAACATTTTGGCTCTAGCCTTTCAAGGTCAGTGAAGACTCAGGACATATGAGAACTTGTACTGTAACATCATGAAACTCAGTTGTGTCCCAAATTTTCTGATCAAGGAAATTTTGGGTCACAGAGCAATGTGATTAATGATGTAGAGTGTGCCTAAGGAGAATCACATGGAGAGAAAACATTCTCTCAGGCTTTCACAAAGAGTAAATTGGTCAAGCAATGGCCGTGACTTATCCACATGGCTGACACTGACAAAGGATCTGCAAACTGCGGTACAGGGTTTCAGTAATTCTTTAAATAGCATTTAATTGTGAACTTAGTGTTTCAAATGCCTGCTCTCACTGTGTAAACATCTTGTTATTAAGGTTCTCATTTGATGAGAAGAGTTAGGACAATCATTATGTTGTCTAAAATTAAGTTCGTGGTTGGTTTGTGTTGCTAAACAAGATTTTGAAATGAAAGTTACCACACTGAAATGTGTGTCTTCACTGAATGAAACAAATTCTGTAATGAAATCCAGTAAGTTAATAACATGTGACACAGTTTCCTAGTGACTAATAGCTGCCTTTAATGAGACAGATGCTTATCTCAGGATTTGCATAGCTTGTTTGCTGTAGGCACTGAGGTCGAGTCCTACCTACACACATGTGATCGATTTCCTAGCTTCGTGACTCCAACACATCCACCTTTTTTGTTTTGCTTTGTCAGAGATGGGTGTTTCATTGCAGTTAGAGAAGCTGTATTTGGAGAAGTTTTTGAAGGACGTTTTCATTCTTGATGCCAGTCCAAAGATTGTAGGTGCTTTAATTTAACACACACACACACACACACACAAAAAAAAAAAAAATCCAATACAGTCCAGTAGTCCACCATAGTAGTGGGTTAGCAGAACTGGCAAAGTCAGAAGTTTTTGAATTGAGACTTTACAGCTCAGCATATTAATATAGCTTTATTTTTTATACCTTGTGGTTACACTTTTCTGCTGGATGTCTAAGACCAACTTAAAGCAAGACCTATATAACTATATTTCTGCTGTCTGACAAGGTCATTCAAATCCCCTCAGGATTTACCCTGGAACCATGTACAGCACCTTGTAGATCTTTTGTCTGTGTCGGCCATGTGGATGAGTCATGGCCATTGCTTGACCAATTTGCTCTCTGTGAATGCCTGAGAGAATTTTTTCTCTATAGTTGACTCTGCTTAGGCACAATATACATTGGTGATCACTTTCCTCTCTGGTCATATAATCTCCTTTGCAAAAGTATAAATAATATACCATTTTTTGTGTGTATATATATATGATAGTTAGGATATATATACAGCTACTTTCTCTTAGTTCTTTTTTTTTTTTTCTCTGAATGCCCTCAGGCGTGGTTTGGCTGGCTGG